AAAACGTCGGGTTGGCATGCGCAACTACGGGTAGTGGGAAAGTCCCACTGCCGTGGTGCACGTGAAAGCGTGAGGAAGACCAGAAAAAGAAAAATATTAAGAGATGAAAACATAGACACACAAGAGAAAAAATATGGACATAGAAAAGGATTTCAAAAGAACAGAGGATGTATTGCAGAATCTGTGGAATATGCCTCAGCACAGGGTCACAACATTCCAATGGATACCCAGTCACATTGGAATAAAGAGAAATGAAGAGGCTGACAGCCTCGCCAAGAAAGCATTGAACGAAGGACGGGATTGCGCAATCCCCATGTCTGGGGCGGATATTCAACATTTTATAACGCAAGGCGCTAACCATTGTTCGATAGAGAAGGGGTTTGATAGCCCCAAATTAAAGGAATCAGTACTCTCTGAAGTTGATTCACACAGAAAATTTTTCATAGAGACAGATCTCCCACGACACATAGAGACATTAACCCACAGGCTTAAATTGGGAGTAGCATACACAAACAGCTTCCTGCACAAAATACATCGATGCAGCTCCCCAGAATGCCATTGTGGTCATGCAGAAGAAATTGTTCGCCATATTCTTTAAGAGTACGTTAAATAGGCGAATGAAAGAGAAAAATTAAGGAACAAATTAGCAAGTTTGGATAGGTGGTCCCTCACATTAAAGAAATTGCTCGGACTATGGCCTGAGATGCATCTTCAGAAAAAAAGTGCCGCCACATCCACGAAGTGAATGATGATGAGTGGGCGAAGCTCCGGAGGTAAACCTGGTAAACCATGAATCCTCCGTACATTTTGCCCACTCGATTTTATTGCAACGCTCCCCCTAGCGTACGTCGCCGCACTATATCGAACGATGACACGCGCCATATGTGGCATCATTCCTATTTTATAACACCTCGCATCTTTCATAATCAACTACACGTACCGCCGTCTAGTATATAACATCTTGCATCTTTTGGATGGATGGATGGACGGACGGACGGACGGACGGACGGATGGATGGATGGATGGACGGATGGACGGATGGATATGGCTGTACCCTTTAGATCGGGCGGTGGCTAGCGTAATACTTAATGCCGTCAGCTACAAGTACCGCCATCTAGTGAACACTGCAAGAACTGAACGAGAGGTGGCTACATACAGGGGACGCACAGCCCACGCCTTAAGGAGCTTCGCTCCTAAAAGCCGAACATCTTCCTGACAAACTATTTAGTGGAGACCGGACTGGCTAAGCGTCTGTGATAGACGGCCAGGGATCGATATATATGAAATGTGTTAGTGCATAAGCTTACAGTAGAAAAGGAAGGTGTGTGTGTGTGTGAACTGCTGCAGGCAAACTGTGCATTGGCATAATATTTCAACTGGTTTCAGTGTGCTATTATGTTTTTTGGATTGTTAATTTTTGGGTACCATTCAGTGTTATTCTTTTTTTTTGCTGCAGAACTTATTGATATGAAGTAGACGAGGCAGTATGGACCTCAACCTCTCCACAGCAAAGCAGTTAGAACAGAACAGAGCAAGACCGAAAGGGGTAGAAAAGAAAGAAAAAAGAGAAACAAACAGAGAAAGAAGTACAGAGAAAGGAAGCAATAGAGAGACAGACAAAAAGAAAGAAAACGAGAAAAAAACAGCTAGAGAGAAAAGAAGAAAATAAAGAAAAGCATGCATATACACGAGTGAATGATGATGAATAAGGTGAAGCGTCTGTCCGTGCGTTCGTCTGGCTTTCCGTCCGTGCGTCCATCTGTCCATCAGTTCATGCGTCTGTCTATCTGTCTGTCACTCACACTAGCGCCACCTGCTCAGCCAATCGTACAACTAGGTGGTTACGAACTGGTCACAAAAGACATGCATGAACAGACCCACGGCGTTAGGAGCTTCGCCCTTAAAAAAAAGACTCAGTGACCGTTGAAAGAAAGAGCGAGAGATAAAAATAAATAGGGAGAAGTGACACAAGCTTGACACATGCTTGCCACAAGAAGTGACACAAAGGGAGCAAACTGATGCAGTAGCTTAAAAGGCATGCAAGAAACGTTATTGATTGGCTCGCCTATGGGTTGCGGGCTGTAGGGTATATTTTCAGGCTTAGCCCACTACCGGCAAATGAGTAATCGATGAGAGGTGGAAGGTCTTATGCTCCAGGTTAATAAACAACATTGTCTCGGTTTCAACACATCAGCGAAGAAAGATCTTTGGTGCGAGCTCGTTTTCGATATTTCTTCTTCTCTTCTACGTTTATTCGGCGCTCATTCTCTTACCTCGCGGTATTTAATTATGCATATTATATACAACATCCTCTCTACATGCTGCTTGTGTTAGCTTGTCTTCCGCGGCTGCTATTGCGTACTCCGCTTCCTTTGGGAGACGTTAGCGCATCCACGTTCGCACAGTCCGGCACCAGAGTCACGTTTATTCCAATTAGCGTGCACCTGCAGACTCGTCAGTATTTTGTGCAGCCACGGCTCAGGGTTTCTGGCGACCTATACTGTGCATAACGACTTCAACCTGATGGCTCGTTTCATGGCGCGCTCGTGAAACGCAATAAACGCCGTACTTCGGGTTGGAAGCTCGCTTATACGCTTCTCAAGCAGTCTCCGTGATGTTGTTCGCTGTGTGTGTTTTGGGAGTGAGTAAATTCGCTATGGCGCTTTGTACGGGTAAACACACCGGTGCGTTTGCATATTTTTTTTCACCCCCCATCAAATGAAAGGATTGTGACTCGTGCATTTGCATTAAGAGGCCGACGTTGCTCGCGCTACAAATGACAGTGTTCGGATGGCTAAAGTTAAAAAGGCTCACCGACTGTCTTTAATGATCTCTCGTAATGGTGGATGTAATTGCGGAATTAAAGGTGAGATCTCGTAAGGTCATTTTTGCTCAACACCAACATTAAGGCTAACGCGTTTTTCAAAACATCCGACCTAAAATTTTGCTGTGAAATAATTGATGTTAAAGTTGGCATTTCATGAAGAAATTGCGTAGCAGATCTTGGTATCATGGCTTCGTCTTCAACGCTATTGCATTTTTAGTAGATATCGACAACTGAAAGTGCAATACAGGCAATATTTGTCTGTATTGTAATATTTGTGCCGTAAGTACACGCAGGCTCATTATTCGCGCCAGTTTTATAATCAAAACAACCCCCCAAAAATATGCATTAAAATTAGCGCAAAACTCTTTTAGTAGTTGTGCAAAGTTATGCATAAGTGCGAAAGCTTGTCTTTTGGTCTCAGATAGACAGAAAGTATAGTAATACCTATTCACAAGTTTGATGATAGAGCCAATATGTATTTACATTTACAATGGGCCTCCTTAATGCACCCGATATGGTTGATGCACAATGAAAACGAGGGAGACTTTAGCCATTTGTCTAAGGATTCCTAACCATTGAGATCGCGAGTTGGCCTAGTTAAATTATAATTTTCAGGTCGCGGTTAGTTTTAACAGCCTTCATTCCGCAAAAAAAAAAGCATTATGTTTTATCGGCTTTTGTTGTGTATCCGCTATATAGGATGGATTCAATTAAGGGCCTCCTATTGAAACATTTGTAGCTGTTGGCTGGAGCTATTTCTTGAGAATAAGATATGTATGGCTCGATATTTTATGGTCTTTCGGAAACCAGAAGCTTGATTTAAATATGCGAAATTTGAGGCATTAAAAGTTGTTTTCTGACATATAAAAAGCTCTGCCACTGTTTCGGTAATTTATTCGCTGTTGCTGAAAAGTACTTGTTTAATTCAATATTAACAGGCTGTCATGTTTCTCCAATCAGGCGAAACTAGCTTTGCAAAGATTTTATGGTTTGAAAACCTGCACATACCATAAGCTTATTCAAAGTCGGTGACTGGTGAATGTGACTGTTCAAAATTGGAGTCCATGAAAATCGGTGACATGATGACCGGGACCTCGGCTTATTCTTAACTCAACACATACTTGTGTCAGCACGGTTAAAAATTCGGTAGCGTGGTTGCAAACGATTTGGTTACAAGCCAACAATTTGAGTTAGTACCATTCGCTAGCTAACGAGGTAGTAGATTTTGATAACCTGCATTTTACTACCTTCACTTCTTAAGAGGTCAGGGCCTTTCGTGACTCGTAAGAGGTTAGAAGAGAATTTTTTAGGGCTCGTTTTTTTTTGTTAGACACAATATTTATGAGAACTACCCAGCGGTGATGTCAAGAAAAGTACAGGGGATGTTATTTCTAATAATTGCGACATACAAGTAAAAAAAAGTAAAGCGGACTTTTTCCCCTAACGGGGACCCAACCAGCAACCTTCGCGCTACGCATGCGATGCTCAGCCAGAGCCCCGGACAGGTAGGGTCGGACGCGTGACGCGAAGGTTGCCAGTTCGGCCCTGCCAGTTATCGTTTCTTCCCCTTTACTTTCCTCACATGTATGTCAACACTACTAAAGATAACACGCCCTGTACCTTCCTATCGTCTGGTAGTTTTCATTAATATTGTGTCTAATAAAGAAAAAACGAGCCCTTAAAAAGTCGTTTCTAACCTTTTACGTGTGAAAAGGCTTAGTTATGGTTCTATAGTGAAATGCAGGTTATTGAAATCTACTACCTCGTTTGCTAGCGAATGGTACTAACTCAAATTGTTGGTTTGTAACGAAGTTGTGTGTAACCACGCTACCGACTTTTTAACCGCACTAACATAAGTAGACTACTTGTTCAGTTAAGAACGAAGCCGAAGTGCGGGTCTCTATTTCACCAATTTTCATGAGCTCCGACTTTTGATGAGTCACTTTTATCAGTTCTTTCTTCCACATTACTTTCTTCACATGTACATCAGAATGATTACAGATAACGTTCTATATACTTGGCATTATTGTGTGTTAGTAGTCGTTATTATAGTAAAAGGTTACTATTTACTGAATACATCGACTTTAAAGAGCGCTGTGAACTTCTTCGCAATATGTGTCTGCCTGCCGTGCTCAGAAAAGTCAACAGAGCTACCACATGCACCGTGCCTTACCTTTCTTCGGGGTCCCTTTCGTAGGCGCGGTTCAGGTGTCCATTAGACGGCTGACTCCGGGGAACCATGTCATCCGGTTCCTTTCGTGTTGCGGCGGCCGTCACCCTAGGAATCGGCCGTACAGTTTCCGGGATGGCCTCTGGTCGCACGTGAGGCTCTTCAGGTTCAGGATCAAACACACTCTGCGCAGTGGTATACGACGTAGTGTAGTTCACCACCCTCACCATGAGCCGCTCTGCACTGTGTCTACTGTAGGACGAAGTCCTTTTCTTGCCCACGCTGGTTTAATTTTATGATGGCAAACTCTCTAATTTGATCACCCATCCAACTTTTGACCGTTTGTGGATTACGTTTACCAACCAGCAATATCTAAATATCTAATATTTTTACTTGGGCGAATGGGTTCATACACGGACGAATGCTGCGCGACTTAGGCGAAGACAGGAGACACGCTTGTCTGTGGCTTATTTGTGTCCTGTCTTCGTCCAAGTCACGCTGAATCCGTATGAGTCTTTAATAGCTATTCGTTGCTCTCACTGACCACCAGTTCACTGCCGTGCGCATTACGTGGCCAGCCCTGCCGGCCCATTTTTCTCGCTCGATGGATTGTTAGCCAAACTTTGTTGATAGTCCTAGCGTTAGTATCCGGATTAATTTTTTGGGATAAAGCCAAGTCCTGGGACGAACTTGTCAACTAGAATATCTGCTACATCCGCAGTTTGCTCTCTGATGCACGCTGCTTTCTTCTCGTCTCTCAATGTTGCCCCTACCGTGACAAATTTGCTCGTTGGCAGACATGTGCATACGCTTTGTGTGCGGGCCACGTAAAATATTTTCTTGTTCATAAGGAGCCTGACTACATCCAACGTGAGCATACATTAATGTATAAAAAATGCTCACGCTAAGAATTTCGGCTTCAGTGAAACTGCCATTCATGTTGGGGTAAGCTTACATTAGGTAGGTGGTGGATCTCTAAGCACTTCAAAGTACGAACGTCATTAAACAGGTCGGAGAAATTATTCCAGCTTTCTTTAAGCGAGTATAGGAGGGGACGAGTGTCTGTTTACTGTCTCTCTGTGGTCTGCTTTTATTTTAGGTCAATGAACCATCTTGGACAGCAAAGCGTTTTACAAGGCAATATTTCGAAATTCGTGAGAACAGGTGCTTGAGGTCATAAAAAAACTGCCAGAGTAATAGAAGCTTACCTTGAACGCTTTGTCCACAGCAGTCTGAATGTCAATGCTCTCCTTCTCGCTGTCTATTTCCTCCTTTCTCTTGTGCACGCACATCACAATGGCGAGCTGGCATGCAAAGAGTGGGAACATGTTTTTGGTAACAGGAGGAAGGGGCGTTTAGCAGTGAATGAAAGTGGCACCCGCAAATAATAATAATAATTATGTCTGAGGCGTTACGTGAACAAACCACGCTATGAGGCCCGCCATTGTGGAGGGCTCCGGAAATTTCGACCATGCGGCGTTCTTTAACGTGCACTAGCATCGCACAGCACACGGGCCTCTACCATTTCATCCCCATAGAAGTGCAACCGCCATGGCCGGAATCGAACTCGCCACCTTCGGGTAAGCAGCAGAGCACCGCAACTGCTATACACCAGCGCGGCGTACAAGGTAGCGGTGAAGGCGCTTTCAAGTCCACCAAAACTGAGGTGCACAAACATCTGCATCTTGCCGGAATCTAAAGACGTCAGAGCACTTAAAAAGTTAGGGACAATAATCATGCTTTCAAATTCACAAAAAAGATAATTGCATATTAAGATATGACTTTTTCAATACTGTGCAAACAATATCGAGTAAAAAAAGAATGTACGGGCTGTTCACATTTTTTAAGTATCGTGGTATATATAGACACATTACGTCTTGTGTTCCACAAAGCAGCGTTTACTTGATTCTTATCTTCTCTCAGCTAACGGTAAGCTCACTCAACTCTGTGTATTCTAAGATGTAGTTTTTTTTCGACGACGGTGTTTTGCGGGCGTAGTCCTTCGTTATGCGGACGACAGCGCTAACGGGCGTAATCCTTCAGTATTAGATGCATGAATGTAGTTACCACGTGGTGCTCCACTTGGCTAATGCCACTAAGCTCGTTTAAAACCATGCAATCGTCTTTACACGTTGAGATCTTAGAATTACCACACCCGAGACGCTCTTATCCCTGGTTAACATCGCTCTTATCCCTGGATAACTACTCTAGTATCTTACTTTTAAGAAGCTTCGGGGAGCGCTATGTATGCTATATTGTTGTCTGTTCCTGTCATGTTGCGCTACGCCACATGAATTGGGAATACTAGTCATCTAACCCTGCAACGAGCCTTGACCAATTTATATGAGCATTCGAAGGCGAAGTTAACACTTCCGTATGCATTACTATCCGAATGTATGCTAACAAGATGGAGGAAGTGCCAAATGTTTTTAACCGTATTAGGAGGCCAGGAAGGCAGTCCGGACTTTACTCGCACTGATGGCCACGTTTATGGTAGCACCTCACGGCAACAGGGGCGGCGCTGTCGCCGGTAACAATGTTACCGCGAACTTAGTTACAGCTTGGCACTCGACGCGTTCATCGCTGCTGCCATCCCCACAACGGCCTGAAATCAGTCCGAGGGATGGTGAGCTTTGTGATTCAATCTTTTTCTTTACAGCCCGTTGTTGCGCTTTCCGTCATCGTGCAGCGGCTGCCGAAAACTTAGTTTGCGTAAATAAAATAAAATAAAAGAGAACTTGATGAAAAGCGCCCCTGTCAGCCAAAAGTTTGTTTCCCTGAACTGCGTTGAAGAAGTGGGGAGGGGGGGGGGGGGCTCGATCAGCATTGCCTTTGAAGCAGCGTGAGTGGTCGGCCCACCTCGGCGGCGTCAGCGGAAAGCTCTTGAAATTCGGTGATCGTTCTTTCTTCGCGAACTGAGAACTTCTTTCAACGTAGCACTTCTTTGATTGCGGTAACTTCATTGACGGAGACTGTATATAGTGCCTTTCTGGATATAGAACGTGAAAAGAATTACGGGCAACATAGAACCCAACTTAAATGTGGTTCAAATGACGTGGTTCAAATAAAGCGTGGAAAACGCTCAGACAATGTACAGAGGCAATGCGAGATATGCGTGTCATTTTTGCGTGATTGCAGGTCACACATTATTTAACTGTACCAAAAGAACCGACCTGTGTTTCTATCGCTCATAAACATGGTGGTGAAAAATACGTAAACAGGGGTTTTGTCGAGTTGACGTTTTGGCACAACCCCTGCCTACATATTTTTTTTTTCTGATCGCGAGCTGTCTTCCACTTCCTTTCGTTTTTTTTTTTTTGAACTTAAACATTGTGGTGTGGAACGAAACGTATATTTGCGGCAGTTTTTATGGTTTTCACTGTTTGCTGGCGGGGATATTGTTAAAATTATATTTTGCGATTGTTGGAATTAACCATGCTATAATTAGGATGCACGCTGTAGTGACCCCATGCTATTTTTCACTTCCTATGATTTTTCAACGTTAACTTTCAATTTGAAGAACACGGATATTCTGCTTTTCATTTCGAGACAAGGTTACGGCTGCTTTCATTGTATACGCGTGTCTTTGTGCGAAACTGTTGCATGAGGGGCTACACAGCCAGCCAGCCGGAAACTTCTTGCGGCGGACTGTCAGAAATGTTAAATTTGAAGCATGCATGAAAAAAAATTATGTTAACATGAAATTCAGTTCGGCACAAAAAGTGTACAGCAATACGCCAGCTAAAATTGGAATAAAAGCGGGCTGCGCTCGTGCTATATGTAACAGGATTCGAAGCTGACTGGGTTACTCGCATCAGCTGGGTGATGAGTCACTGCACTCGATGACAGAATGTTTAATTGGCATGTTGCAGTCCTTGCATGTGAATGTTAATTGTGCTCTACATAGAGTGCCCCTCACAACGAAGAAACAACACGTGTGCTTGTACTCTTTGATGTATACGAATGCCCGTCTAAAGAATCTGTCACTGCGGCAGTTGGTGAACGATTCCTTCCAAAAGAAGCGAAAGGGGCGAAGAGTAAAAAGTATGACAGCCTTTTACCAAAACGCGAGTAAGTAAACTATTATGATCAAAATGAAGGCACACGAAATTGAGAAAGGGAAGCAAGAATTCGCGACACGGTGTCCGTCTCCGTACTCGGTTTTACTTCTTGCAGTTACAAAATCTGTACAAAAACATTAAACGTCAGACAAATCTGTGGCAGTGTTCATTCGCTGTACACAGGCCAACACGGAGGTGAAAAGGCGTGAAGTGTTCAGCACGGCCTCGACAAAAGAGACCGGCGTCGTGGGAGCGTCGCAGTGCGGGGATCCCTCGAGGCAGGTCGTTATACTTTCTGCTTGGTGCATCAAACACGATTTGTCAAGAGAACCGTCATGCGGCTCACGTTGTTCCCTCTAGGCTTTTCCCATTCCATGCGTATGCAAAAGCGACCTCAGAACGCGTAGCTTTCCTATGGTAGTTGACGAAGTTTCGACCTCGAGAGGATCTTGTGAGGCAGCGCTTCGCTGCCTTCTCCGAAACGAATTCTGACTACTGACTATGATTCAAACGTGTCGTATTCAAACGTGTCGATTCAAAGATTCAAACGTGTCGTATTAGGCTGAACACCACTCTGCATCCGCCAGCCAGCAAATCAAGACAGTGGAACTGTTTAATATGTGTCTGCTCAATAATCATCGTCATCGTCATCGTATGTCATTAGCCGGCACGCGTTCCCTTCCAGAGCGTGGTTAGCTTTAGACGGAGTGCTGTACGTTCGCCAACGTGAGCCAAAGTCGAAGTTTAGCTTAGCTTGGAGGGTATACACTTTAATAAAGATGGGTAAATGCTGGTATCAAGTTTGTATGAGAAAGGTGAATGATATATAGTCGTTGTCCAGCTTCATATATTATAGCCATTGTAATCTTAACGTTAAAGCTTGATATGACTTGCTGAACTAAGCAAAACTTGGTCTAGCATAACTTAACAAAGCTATAGAAAAACTACGTACAGCAAAACTGTGGCTTTGAAGAAGCTTCGCCTCGCAAAAGCAACGCCATGTGCGTTTGTCGCGTTTTTTATTTTTATTTTTTTGGAGGGGGAAGTAAAAGGAAACGTGGCCGTTCGTTGACGTACAGTATACGTATGTGAATGTTCTTAACATTCCTTATTTTCAATAGGAGAAAAAATTGCCTGATGTATACCCGGCGTTTAAAGCAGGCCCAGCGTTTTTCGAACTAGACGACACGAACTGAGAGTCGTGTGGCACACGGTTCAAAATATGCTCAGCGGCACTGGCATTGTCACGGGTATTGTTATGGGCATCGCTAAGCCTTCGTTTTCAGCTGTACGAAAAGCTGGAGCGAATGCAATATTCACTGTAAAATTGCATCTAAAGCACATAATGGTTCACTGAACGAGCACAGTACCCTACTCTGGGGGAAAGAGCTTAAGAATTGAAAAGAGAGATATTAAGTATCCGGCTATCAATGTGGAACATGCGCTGATGTCCAATATACCTGCATGCAGTTTATAACTCAGGCTGGTCGCTTTCAAGATGCTCACCTTTACAATCCAGCCGAGGAAGAAGTAGCGGGAGAAGTAGAGGAAGATTAGGAAGAAAGCCAGTGCAGTCTCATTTTCCGGCTCGAAGAAGTACGTGAATATCATCTGAAATGACGACATTATTATTATGATTTTGTTAACACACTACGCAATAAGCGTGAAATTGATTGCCCTCATCAAGAGTAAGAAAGTGCCCAGTAAAAAGGTGATAGTGAAAGACGCACATTTTACCAACAGACGGGTCATCCTGAGCCTTCTGGCTTGCTGCTTTGCACTGTGAAAATTGCCATGGGTTTGTTGAACAACTGTGAAAGTTGTGGCGGCTACGGAGAAGTACTGTGTGACCATCTTTGCGGTTAGTCATGTAACCTCGTCGCAATTAAGTAACGTGTTGCATAACACCCCCTCTAACTAACTGTACCTAATTTCCAATGAGTTTGCGAGCCGGAAACACTTCTGACAACTGTCTGGTGGCAGCTGATTTTACTCCATCTACCAAAGTAGCATTTGTAATATTACGCATTCACGTTTGATGGGAGCGGATGCTCGGAGGTTAAGAGCACAGAAAAAAAATAAACAAACAAACGAGGAAGACGAATAAGTTGTCCGGAGGGCTGACGGTGCCTTTACACGGCCTGTGGTGTCACCTGTGACGATACACGCATGCTATTGTAGCTTATTGACCCAAATTTGTGACTATCAAAAATCTACAAAACGCTATGCATGACTGCTTCACTGGTTCTTTGTCGCCATCAAATTTTCAGTCTGTTTGCCCAACATCGCCCCAACTCACACTGTCCGATCGGAGGACTGCTTTACGATGACCATCCGTGGCTTCATTTATAGTGCTACGATGGCGGATGGAGAATGGTTGAAATTTCCCGCTTATGTTAAGAAATGATAGATTTTGCTTAACTGCAACACAGAAAAAAAAAACAGAGTTGGGATAACTTTGATCAAAAGAGATGAGTGATAGTTTATTGCAGTAAATAAATTTACGCCAACCCAAGAAAAAGTGGTCGAGCTGACTCGAGCAAAGCTAGCCCAAAATATTGTGCTGTCAGTTCAGAAAATATGCGACCTCTGGGTGCAGACGGCTAACTTAGGACGGTAAGCGTATATCTTGCGAATAGGTCCTTTGCATATATTAAATAAAAACTATGCAACTTGAGAAGAACACACTTGACAAGTGACGTTTTCCCGACTTACTATGAGCCGGAAAAATGAATTCTCTTGCACTTTAACTATGTAGGATGCAGGAAAATAACTTCAGTGAATGAGTTCTAAAACTGAAGCTTTGGTGAGTTGGTAATGACCATCAGGTCATTACCAACTCACCAACTACCAACTCACATTACCAAGGTATTAACAGCGCATAGCTTCAACCTATGCGTTTTTTCTTTCATATAGTCTATGCGTTTTTGTTAATAAGTTCTTGATTGTTTAGTTCATCCGTTCAGCCATTTAGTAGCAAATGCAAGCAATAATTTTTTTATAGAAGAACACTATTGAAAGCACTACAGCGGAAAATAATGAAACGTGCGAGCCCCTGATGCTGAATGTTCCTGCATTAATTGGAATGTCCTCGGGACTCGCAAACGCTTTTGCAAGGAAGGTGGTGTATATACATAGGATTCCTTGCTGTTTCTTCCTCATACTGATTAATAAGCTAACAAACTTCGTTTGCAACTATGTCTATGAGTTCTGTCACCTCTGAAGTATTAGTCCGATCAGTAATCAGGACACGTGAGAGAAATAATGAGCATGGAGCTAGGACAGTTGTTGAATGCTTGGGGCAAGACGTGCGAAGGGGAGCAGGCTGTGTGGTCTAAGGGCTTCAATTTCGTCTGTTCTCTTCTCTTTTAAATAACTTGATGTAGAAAGCTTGAGGTTTATATAAATTCGGCTTCTCTATTCCGATAAAATAGCCATGAAAAAAATATTACTCAATATAAAAAAAAGATGAGCAAATAAAAGAAAGACACAGCGAACTCAAAAAAAAAAGGAAAAAGAAAGCTACTCGGTAATCTTGTTACGACTGTTATGACTACGTGCGTATCCCACCTACACTTTTCTGCTTAGTTCGTTTACATTTCGCGAATGCGCGACTCTTCTTGCGTTTTATTATTATTATTATTATTATTATTATTATTATTATTTTTATTATTATTATTATTATTATTATTATTATTATTATTATTATTATTATTATTATTATTATTATTATTATTATTATTATTATTATTATAGCCGTTGTAGATTGAAGATGGTGGCCACCGTCGTTATGTGTTTACTACATTTCCCTTAATGAAATAATATTGAGCATATGTTGGTGCTCTTGTAAAGCACCAGCTTCTACTCTTTAGTGATGTGAAAAGCACAGCGACGAAAGAATTCATAAAGAAAATAGAAGCTGGGCCAAGTTTACACGAATAACAACACGTACAGAGTCCCGTTACTACAGTTCTCATCAAATGTAGTTGTACTAATTAAGAAGACAGGACGCGTAAACACAGACACAAGAAGAAAGTCGGCTGTTAGTGGCGTCCTTTTCGTGTCCGTGCTCGCACGCCATGTATTTAAATAATGAATGCGGACCAACTAGTTCCGCTCTCTGCTATTTTAAGGTGAAGTGGCACGTACACCATACACACTGCAAAATAACACTACACGTCACGTAGCAGCACTCAAATTTGGAAAGTCGAGACAAACGGACACATAATGAGTTCTTACGAGTTACATGAAGTGCTCTACGAACAAGTGCTACGACAAGTATAAAATATGTGTTAGCAGGTTTTCTCAATATTTCCCAAGAATACCACTTTCTTCGAAAAATTTCTTGAATGCTAGAAGTTCACGTTTTTGTAAGGCATGTGTCTGTCATGGACCCAGGATTTTTCGAAGAGAGGAAGGTCTATGGTCCAGGGTGGTTGCATACTTTATTAACTGTTGTAGTTCGTGCTGATGTCACAGGAATTCTAAAAAAAATGTGTTGCACATTTTCATCTACGTGTCCACATGTGCATTCTGGGCCCTCCGCTCGTGAAATACGTGTAAGAAGCGCTTTGTGCACGCAGTATCCAGCTGAAGTTCCCGCTTCGGCTGGATAGTGAACCAGCGTTTCAAAGACCCCGCTTGCTTTTAAAGATAAATTAATCAAAAATTCTGGAGTAGGTCAATATAAAATATGTATGAACCAGGGGCGTAGCCAAACATTTTTTTTGCGCGGGGTACTTCGTGCTTCAACAGTACTTTGTGTGTTCGTGGGTGCGTTTGTACGTGTGCATGTAAATATAAGGAAGCAAACTTGAAAAATTCCTAAAGCCCCCAACCCTTGGCTACACCACTCAGGCCTTTGGCTATTCCACTGCTCTGAATATTTTGAATTTCTGTCGGACAATGTGGCTTTGCAACTACAAGCTGACATCTGTCGCAGTACGTGCTGTTCGTTATATGCATTACCGATGTACCGCGCTCTTTTTCGGCTACTTCATCGGCCGCCACATTGCCACAGATATTTTATGTACATTTCACTGGAATGTGTAAAGTAGGTGAAAATGTTATTATTATTTTTTTAGTTGTCTGCGTTTAACATTACAAAACCCCGATATAATTAGGAGGAGTTCGCCGTAGTGGAGGGCTGCTGGAAATTGCACCCACCTGGGCTTCTTCAACGTGAACCGAAATCTAAGCACACATTACGCCCCTATCGAAATACATACGGCTGCCGTGGCCGGTATTTGATTCCGTGGCCTTCGGGTTAGCAGTAGAGCACCACAACGAGTAGTTGAGGTTATCCTCGACGCAAAGCCTTAAACTTCTGCATTGCTTTGCGTTACGATCCGGGTCATGTTTGATCTTCGCGCTCCTTTTGCATTCCCCCTTTATTATTCAGCCCGCTTTCCCCCCTTCAGTGCGAACCAGGTGCAAACTCTAGCTGCATTTCTTCTGCACTGTCACTCTGTCTATCTGCTGTGGTTGGCTCCACTTGCCAAACATTATTAAAACACTGGACTTGTTTGACTCAAAGGGTACTGACACGAAAATTTTCAGTTGTCGTTTTTGTGTACAAATGAAGAGCCACGCTGTCGAGAGTCCAAGAAATGACCTACTAAGTGTGAGTGCGCATTGAGAAACTAATTACACTGTGTTTTTGCAAGCCAGTTTCGGTTCCTGTTGTACCCTGGTGTCAGAACTTGATATGAGCTTTTCGACACGTAATCGCGCAAGATCATAGCGACTATTCCACCGTGCCAGCCATGGCTCCGTGACGCATAAGTGGTCATTTCGCAAGTTTTGATAACGGCACCCAGACTGTTGCATGAAGTCATCAGAATTCGTACTGTAGCGGGACGTCAAGCTAGTCGGCAAGTGCACCGTTCAAACACTGACTTTATATATTTTTAATATCAAAATAAAATATGTTTTCAGGAATTTCTGGGCTACATACTTGTTGAGAGTCGTCTCTGCGTATAAGATATTAGTTAGGCAGTGTAAACTCACCGCACTCTTATTAATTACTGGTAGAGAAATACAAAAAAGTTACAAAACTCACCTCGGAGGTTGCGAAGAAGTATATTGTTATAGTAACGCTCTGAAGAAGGCTGACGACGGATGTGAAAACGAAAAGTGGAAATGCCGTAGCCTTGTCATTCTGCAACACAAACCCCACAGGAGAGTGAGTGTATCGGGCAAGGGAGACAAACTCTTGAGTGGTCACATTTACCGCCGAGAGAAGGTAAATAAAAGAAGAAAGAGTCGCGCTCTGCGCACACCTTGACGCACTTACCTTATTTGACCATATCAGAGCTGCTGCGCTGAATAAATAAAGCAGCTGGAAAACCAATATTGCCACCACGCAGAAAGTGTATTCTGAAAGCAAACGTTTGGAAACTTGTCATGTGGTGAACGAAACCCATACTTGACTGTTATAGACTCTCATAAAAGTTTACTTTCCAGCACATTACATAGAGTGATTGTGCTGTACACAATATTAATGAGAACTAACCGACAACGATGCAAGCAAAGTATACGAATTGTCATTCAACTAAGCAAAGTATTGGAAATGCAGCCCTTAGTTATGCGAATTCCAAGTCTGCTCGTACGGTCACTGTTGGTGGAGAGTAGGATTTTGTTCAACAAAAAAAAAGAAAGAAAAAATTAGGCAGACCCCACGCACCTTGGGAATCGATGTTATGCAAATCAGGCGAGTGGAATGCGAATATGTTTTTTTTTATTGAGCGAAATGTCATGAAGTGGCGCTAAATACTTGTACAAATCTACGCACACACTTACGTTAAACAGCTGCCTATGTTTTTTATTAGCAGTTCTTTACAATTGACTAACGATGCCAACAGCAACGTGGATATTAGCCACATCAGAAGCGGTAAGCTGATATGAAGCTTTGGTGTTTGCGGTGGTGCGTGCGAGGATGGTAGCCCTCAACACTGCTACACAAATCAACTTCAGCGACTGGTGCCTAACTGCAATTTACGTTCACCCAAGATGACGGCTGTATCATAGAAGTACATAGGTAATGTTTATAAAATCGGATAGCCAGTACTGCAACCACAACTGGCGTTACACGAGCATTAGTGTCTATTTGAAAAGGATATCCCAGGCCTGGCGTGGCTCTGTGATAGAATGCTTCATTGCCACGCAGAATGCTAGGGTTCAATGTTTTGGGGGACACTAACGTTTATTGTTAACATTCGTCCGGACGACGCTGCCTATGGGAGCTTTTTCTTAACACTCAAGCGTTAAAGTAAACCATGTGTGTTCTCGCCATTTCTGGGTAGATATAAAATGTGTATAACCTGTGGCACATTCCTGTTTGCCTGTGGCACATACCCGCCCCCTGGTATGTGTCACTGTTTTTTGGAAAGTGTTTGACGACGTACGCGACGATATTGTGACATTATTCATGTCATAACCAGCGAGTCGTATTCGTCAAACCATCTTACCCTCGCGTACTAATTTTGGTGTACCCTGTACACGTTTGGTGCACATCAAGGGGTTGATCATCAGAGCACCTCAGACGTAGGCGGATAGATAGATAGATAGATAGATAGATAGATAGATAGATAGATAGATAGATGCCAGACGTGCTTGCAGTACGCAAAGAAATGCTTCCAATTTAAAAAAAAAATGAGCCCTTATCTAGACTTTCTCCTTCCTTTTGTTTAAGCTGTGTGCAGTAAGCCTATCTTTCTCTTGAGATGCAACTGGCCTCGCAGAAATTTCTGTCGCAATAACCTAGCGTCTTTAAATGTTTCTTTTTTGAGTGGAGAATCTGCTAGTTCGGCTGCGCTACAGGAGCAACTTCGGGCATCATCAAAAGGTTGCGATAACAACCTTCTCATGATGCTCGAAGTTGCTCTTGTAGCCCAGTCACGGGTATGTGCACCTTAATTAAGTAAATGAAAGTTCACACTTTTTTAAAAAAAGTTTACACATTTAAGGACTCGTTTTCTTTGTTCGTCACAGTATTATTGATTTCTAACAGACAGCTATGTGAGCGATTATTCGTCAGCTACCATCTCGTAATAAGATCGCGCACTTCATGACGCCAAACAGACAAAACAAAAATCGCAGTATATCTACGGTGTAAATGATGATGAGTGGGGCGAAGCTTCGGAGGGTTCCTATTGGTAAACCGTGAATCGTTCATCCATCTGTACATCCGTCCATCCATCCGTCCATCCATCTATCCGTCCGTCCATCCGTCCGTCCGTCCGTCCGTCCGTCCGCACGCCCGCCCGCCCGTCTGTCTGTCTGTCTGTCTGTCTGTCTGTCTGTCTGTCTGTCTGTCTGTCTGTCTGTCTGTCTGTCTGTCTGTCTGTCTGTCTGTCTGTCTGTCTGTCTGTCCGTCCGTCCGTCCGTCCGTCCGCCCGCACTGGCTGAGTGAGTCGTAGGCGGTCACGTACGAGCTAGGAGGTTCAGACCGACGGCTTTGGAAGCCTCACCTGTAAAGGGTGTTCCACGCTCGTCGTATTGGCAAGAGGTGGTGCTGACTAACGCTCCTACGTTGAAATGTACATTTATACCCTAGAAAAGGGACGGGGGGATGATGACCACCTTAAATCAGTGGTATAGCATCAAACGCGTTAATCGAAGGTCGCAGCTTCGGTTCCTGTTGTTGGCAAGCTGTTTCTTTTTTTTTACTTTTCTTTCTTCAAATTTAGGTTACAATCACTCCTAATAACGTCCCCTTTACTTTCTTTGTCATTGTCTGTTGGATGTCATTAATATTAGGCACCACTACTTTACCCTGTTCCACTAAACATGATGAAGGCAACAGTAGCCAAGGAAGTGGCGGTGAACGATGGCAGGGAGCTGAAGAGTTCATACAATGAGATAATACTAGGGAACGGGAAAGGCGACGGTGGCAACGAGAAGACCCCTAAGTGATGGAAGGCCTACGCGAACAATGACGTGCCCGTAGATTTACGAGGTGTGAGTGCTTGGTTTCAGCGCGTGTTTCTGTTTCTGGAGATTGGACGTCCGTGTCGTTAATGTGACTGTCTGTGGTCTGCCTAGACCTCTTGGTGCTGAGAAACAAGCTAGTATCACCTATGGCTAAAACAAGTATACTTCGCAATCGTCCAGCTTCGCTGCTTCAAGCCTTGCGTGACTTAAAGAAAACGTCACTTTTTTTTCCTCAAGCAAGAACTAAAAATTGTGACGCTATTCAGGGAGGATGTAACCTTCTACTGCAGTTGTGTGACGGCCACATTCTGATAGTATAGCCTACTCTGAATATGATTGCGTACTTTAAACATTCGCCGGATGCGAAGAGAGAAAAAAGACAAGAGAGAGAGATAAAGATGAAAAGAAAGGCAGGGAGGTTAACCAGACGCACATCCGGTTTGCTACCCTGCACTGGGGAAGGGATGAAGGGGAGAAAAGAGGTTGCAGAGAGATGAGAAGGTACACACAATCACGAGCACACTCGGGGAGCACACATAGTCTACAGGCGGTCGCTCAGGTTTGTTGACAGTAGCAGTGCTTTAGTCGCTTTCTGCGCAACTGAGGCAGATACCCAAGGTCCTAGTATCTTCTGCACACAAAATGGTCCGGGGTCAAGTTGATTCAAAACCATCCGGAGCTGGCATCGCTGTGTGTCGTAGCAAGCGCAGCTGCACAGGACGTGTTCGGTGGTCTCTTCAGCTCCGCAGTAGTCGCATGTAGGAGTGTCTGCCATACCGATGCGAAAGGAGTACACCTTTGTAAATGCAACACCCAACCAAAGGCGGCATAACAGTGTCACATCCGAGCGGGAAAGTTGTGATGGTAGCTTTAGCTTGAGCGAAGGATCCAGTTCATAAAATTGACACCTTTGGAAGCTGGTAGACGACCAGAACGTGCTTGTGAGATCTCGAGCCAGCAGGTAAAGTTGTCTTGCTGCATCATTCCTTGATAGAGGAATCGGGACTACACGGGTTCCTTCATGGGCTGAGCGGGCTGCATCATCGGCTAATTGATTTCCGGTAATACCGATATGTCCAGGCAGCCATTGATATATAATATCATGCCCTCATGCTAGAGCTTCATGATGGCAATGTCTTATTTCTTGTACCGATTGTTCATGACTCCTCCTACGCATGGCAGACTGCAAACTCTGAAGCGCTGCCTTCGAATCACAGAATATGACCCATTTTCCTGGACGTTCTTGAACGAGATATTGTAAAGCAGCCCTTATAGCAGCAAGCTCTGATGCCGTAGATGTAGTCATATGCGACAACTTAAACTTGATTGTCATTGCTGCAGCCGGAATTACAGCGGCACCTGATGAGCTGCTGGACGAGACGGACCCATCAGTGTATATCTGCGTTCGGTCTAAGTACAACTCATGTAATAATAGCAGTGTTGCTTGCTTCAATGCTACTCTGGAGTGATTGCTTTTCTTTTTGATTCCCGGAATTTCTAGACGTACTTGCGGCTGGTCGAGGCACCACAAAGGACATGCCATTCTTGCAGCTGGCGTATATCCTGATGGAATGCTGTTTAGGTGCTTGGCTATGACGTCTGAAAACGTAGCACGCGGTCTTCCGGAGGGTAGAAGGGCCAAGTGGTGGTCGGTGACACGGCTAGCATGTCGAATGTGCGCTCTGAGGCAATCCACAACTCTATATGTCCTGACCGGATGGTCTTTGGCAAGCATGATTGTGGCATAAGTAGAAGCGCATCGGGGCAGTCCTAGGCAGATACGCAGTGCCTGACCCTGCATACTCTCCAATGAATGAGTATTGGATTTGCAACTGTTAGTCAGTACCGGCAAGCTGTAGCGCAATAGACCCAGAAATAGGGCCCTGTACAGCTGTAGCATGGAGGCCACAGAAGTTCCCCATGCTTTCCCGCACATGAATTTCATTATATGCACAATAGATAGCAGTCTCTTCTTCAAGTACGCACAATGCGGGCTCCACGAAAGACTTCTGTCGATTATTATGCCCAGGAAACGATGCGTCCGTGCATATTTGACACTCTTCCCATTGATGTAAACAGGGTATGGCGTCATTGGTTTGCGTGTAAACGCCATCAACGCGCACTTCACAGTTGATATAGTTAGGCCTTGTTTCTGAAGGTAGGGAGTTGTGAGGGTTGCTGCCTGCTGTATTCGTGCACGCACCTGAGGGCGAGTAACTGCAGCACTCCAGAGGCAAATATCATCGGCGTATACGAATAGGCACACTGACTTTGGCAGAACCTTCACCAGACCAATGAGGGCAATATTGAACAATGTGGGGCTTAAAACACTTCCCTGAGGTACTCCGCAGTAGGTGTAATGTTCAGCAGTTGTACCCTCATATGTTTGCACAAAGAAACCCCTGCCAGTTATATAATCTTTTATCCATTGAAACATTCGTCCA